TAACAGACCACACTAAGGAAAAAGCATCTACTCAACAGCCATGCCAAACATTGTGTCCTTAAAAATAAGTAGCAGCACAGAAAATAGTATAATCGCAATTGCAATGCTGTAAATAGAATTCAAAAAAGACGGGCGTGAATGTGTATGTATGTGTATGTACACAGAAATTTACGCAAGCTTCCTCAAACAAGTGGACAGCCAAAACACATTTTCTTAAATGACTTTTGTGTTTCTTAAACTTAAACAGTACAATACTCATAGTGCTTTGCTCGTATCTACAAAGCGCATGGAAATAGTAAAAAAGTATGGTCAAAATATATTAGAAAACTCTGAAATCCTTGCTTTCATTGCTAGATCGACTCAGCTGTTGCTATTCAAGATTACATATACTTTATGGGGTTGGTGATGCTTCCTTTTGGCTGTTATGTACATTTGCAAAAATCCATTATAGCCTTATTACCCATTTTCAATGGGTTCAGAGTGTAAAAATGTCACACATTGCGGCTTTATTTAACCTATCCATGTGTGCGTGTGCCAGCGTGTGTGTGCGTCAGCACGAAGCAGAATATTAATTAATTTCATAACGCAGTTAAGAACCACAACAATGCGTGACACAAGGCGCTCTGATGTATCAGCTTCTAGAATAATGCTATAAATATTTCACTTGCCATATTAATGCGATGCGCGGCGACGTCATTTTAATAAATTCCAATATGGCGTCAGTCAGCCCCAGGCCATTTTTCCATTCATCTTCCAGTGATTGTGCCTGCCTCTATCTTTGTTTAAACATGTCTGTGTGGCATCTTGGAAAATTCTTAACACTTCCTTGCTCTTGATGGCTGTTAATTGAAAGCCGCTTAGAAGGCTTTCGCTCGGGCGAGTCTAAAACCGCGCCAAGCCCTTGACAACTTATAAGTTCCTCCCATATCGTCACATATAGCTTTATGAAATGCAGTAGTAAATAAAGTTCGTTTCTGAATTAAGTAATAGAAACTTATTTTTTGTAGATATAAGATATTTGTTAAACAGCTCTTAAGTTTGCTAATTGCCTAATACGCCATTTGATTGTATTTAGTTAAATTCGCCAGGTATTTATCAATGAACTCTAGGTAATGAACAGATTTCAACTAGTTGGAATTCACCAGTGTACTTACCTAACTGGTAACTTACAGATTTAATTGGACACATAATAACTCTAAAAAGCCTAGCTGAATCTAAAGAAGTAAATTTGTTGACAATACTAAAAACATTCGCAATTGCTATCTTTAATGTACTCATTACAACATCTGTTTTACATTTTTGCAAGCTTAGCAGATTCTAAAGCAACCAAAAGGTTTATACTTAGTTGGTCAGCATCTAGAAGAACTGACCGGACATTTCAATATTCAACACACTCTTTGTGCCCGAAAAAATTACCAAACTGAGAAATTCACAATTCAGTGGAAAATGACATTACGTTCTGTTATTGGCTAGATACTCAGTACGAGCAAGTAAGGATGCAGGGGACAAATATGGGGCTATATAAAAGAGTATGCCTGCAGTGGGAAAGGGGTCTTGGCGGGAGTGCTGGCTGCAGGCTACAAAATAAAAAGGGCCACAAAATCCATTTAAACACAGCCCTCGGCAACGCTTTTTAGTCGCGAGCATTTTCCTAAATTCTCATCCAAAAGTCTCTTTTAAGTACGCGCATAAGAGTTAGTTCCTGTCGCCTAACGGCAGGAAAAGGCTAAAATGGAGGGTAACAAAGCTATTTAAGTGCCAGCTATAGAATATCACAATATATATATAAATCTGTATATATATTATTTGTTTTTCCCTGCTCATTTGGATCTGTATGTCTATCTGAATGGGGCTGTGAGCCTATGGCTTTATTTTGTTACGTTTGGGTTTCGAATTTTTTGGGATTCTCTGACTAAGGGTTAAATCGGATATGCATTTGGCAAGCAACAAAATAAAGCCTTTGGTATTTATTTGATGCATTTGTCATTAGACACCAAGGGTAAGGTATTTAATATTCTAGAAATGGGATGAATAAACTTGGCCAAGAATTAGTTTAACCATACACAAACTCAATTGAACAATGACTTAAATGTGTTCTTATTTGTGTTTTAGCAGTTAAAAATACTTTAAAATGCAGTTAGCTGGCTTTCAAAAGTCGGAATAGACAGAACATGGACATAATTCTCTATCAACGATATCTCTGACAGTGGATTTTTAAATAATAATTTCATTTTTGTGCGACAAGAAATAAATATGTAATGATGTCAAGAATTGCCAAAGCACTGCGAAAAGCCGATGAAAGCTGACAATCGCAAACTCAATGGGCTGAAAAACTTATAGCACTTAATTTGGCAGATTTACATAAGGGACGCGTCACTTTACCGCTGCACTTTCAAGTCAGTACTATGAGAGTCGATTTCATTAATTATTCTGTGATGACTGGCTGCCTGGCCAAAAAATGTTGCGCTCAAAAAATTGTTGGGCTTATGTTTTGGAACTCGTAGTGCCGCAGTTTTTTTTTGTGCCTAAAGCAAATTGGAATTGCGCCCTAAGATATTAAAAAGTGTTAAGAAAGTATTTCATGCCAGCAACTCTGGGGGTCAAAAGTTTTTCAAGACACTGCAGGTGCTCGCGTTAATCAAAGTTTTTCAACTTCAGCCCTTGGAATAGGCGACAGAAGCCTAACAAAGCAGTCGCAAGATAAATTACTAGATCGTAAATGGGCCGACTTGGCAGCCTGCTCCCCATTATCGTGAAATTCGCTATGTAAATTTATCGGTAAAGTTAATAATAATAATAAAATAAAACTAATAACATAAACATAAACAATACCGAAATTCCTTAAATCCCTCTCTCCCTCGTTGCAAAGTAGTCAACCATAATTTTAATGCATCTAAGGCCTCCGAATGCTAATGATTGTTCATTACTATATTTTGACCGTAAATGGGATTAATTTTTTCAGGATGAGCAACTGCTATTGATTTGACGCTTTAATTTAATATTATATTAATTGCTAACTATATTCTTCTATTATTTATTATAACAGAACATTCCGTTCTATCAATACCTTTTTAACAGAAGTTAAAAAAGTAATAATTTAAAATTGTATGGTATGACGCATTCGACGGTTTTATAGTTGATTCTATTTTTATTTACATAGGTGTGCTCTGGTATAACATATTTATGGTTTTGATACGGCACACATTGATTTAATATGAAGCTTATATAAGTTAAATTTAGCAAAGTACTATGCGTCGATAGTAGTATAAAACTGTTGGGGTCAATATACTTCGAAAACGGAACGACGCAATGCGACTTACTCCGTTGCTTTGTGTCAACATCAGCAAGCCGCGACTCCGGCGTTTGTTCGAGTGTCGATTGAACACCGAAAAGCCAGATGAAAAGCCAGGCTTAAAATGCGTCGTATTCAAATGTATGGGCGTTATTCATCTTAGTGTTTATATTGGCTTTGGTTCGATGTCAGGACCACGTATAAACTAAAAAAAAAAATACAACATGAATGTGCGCCTCTTATCCAATAGCTTTAATACAAATGACATATTACAAAATATACCAGAGTGAAAACAGCCCTGCACAGGATATATGACGCATACAGTAACAGAAAGTTACGCGTGCATATGAGGGTACAAAAACACGCTCAGCATAAAAGTTTCTCTACCTGGCCAACATATATAGAACGAAAGCGACACCAACGTCAGCGAGTTACGCAGATGACGATAAGGGAATTTTTCAATATTGCAGTGCGCTGCGGATACGCACTGTTAGCCAAAGCAAATAAGATTAAACAAAGCGTCAAAATTGCGATTACGTTACGTGGCTGAAAGAGCGACTGAAGGCTGGTAGGAGTGAAAGCTTACTAAAATTCAGAAGAGGGTGCTGTATAAAAGAGAGAGTGGCCTTGCAGTATGATGTGTGCTAAACGTAAGCAAGGCACAAGCAGAAGTAGTTGATGGCCATCAGTGTACGTAATATGATATGCATGCAAATGCGGAAGTTGAATGCAATCACGAACAAACTGAGAAAAGGTTGCGGACCATTTGGTAATTAATGTTTGAAATGAAAGCAATATCTAGCCATCATATTCAAATCGTTTAAATCGTTTATTTGATTTCGAACATGTAATAAAAAAACATTTTCATTTATTTAATTTGAAATATATTTAAAACAAGTGCTAATAAGAAAATTGACAAAAAGAACTACAATACACTACGATTTCTATACATATAAGAAATATAATTAATGTTTTAAAGTGTGAAAATGTTATTCTCCCAATAACCATATACATACATTAATTAAAGCCTGGCCAAATACCGCCATGTCGAAAATAATTGTGTTGCCAGCTGCATGCCAACTTAATTATCCAAAAATTATTTGACCATAATACACAACCAATTGCAGTCAAATAACTGTAAAAGGCTGCACCTATCAAAAAAATATGCATGTTTATATACATACAACAAATTTGCAGTTACAATGCGTTTAATTTTATAAGGATGCATGCACTGTAAAATTTTAATTTCGATCCAGGCGGTGTTTCAGTAAAATTGGCGCGAGCCATATGAGACATAATATTTTAATCCATTTTAATTTGATCGAACTCTGTAAGCCTAGCCATTAAGAAGGTCAACATAGAAAGAACTTTTTGCAAATGCAGTTTTGGGGAATGAAAATGAAAAACGAAAACAATCGTATTTGTATTTTAATGTAGTGATACTTATTTGAAAAAGAATATACAATTTTCCGAATGATCCGTCCGTCTGTCCGTCCGTCCCCTCAGGATCTAAGAGCCTATAAGAACTAGAGACTTGAAATTTAGGTAGGTCCTCCTAATGCCCGCTTAGATCGAGTTTCTTTTCGATAATCGATAATTTCTTCGTTTCCAGGCAATCGATAAAATCGATGTCGAAATCATCTTTTATGAAAATTGGGTAAATAATAAGAGCTAGAGTCACCAAATTTGATATATTGCTGCTAGAATATGTAACGAACACGACGGCTACGCTGGGCGCGTCTTGCCTAACACTCGTGTTGTGCATTGGGAGCGTACTCCGTCTACGGGTTCCGACCGTGCTCAGGGAAGGGGCGTGGGTTCTTTTGCTCCCTAACACACTCGACGCGTTAAGTATAATAAAGAAAAAAAAAAAGGTAGACAGAGTTAAGGTATGACGGAATACCACGATATATAAGGAGCGACTACGATCTGCAAGCAGAATATATCATATAGAGCCGAGGAGCTAAGATGTTGGCTACCCTCGGTCTTCACCCACCCTACCTGTAGCTGCATCTGCGATTGTCGTTGCAACTACCCTTATGTATGCGATACTATTTACCTAAGGTGCCCAAAAAGGAATTAAGATTTCATTTTATCATATAAGTGTATTCAAAGAAGATTTCAACTCATGATCGTACTTCATTATACATTACGTGAGAAGAACAACGTTTTTCTATTTTTTTTTTTTTTTTATAAAACTAAACTCAATCTGGGCAAAAACACACATGAATGAGATTACACTTCGAAACTAATATGAAGTTAAATCACTGCTGATCTGAATGATCCACAAAAGTTATTTGTAATTACGAAGGCTGATTAGGAGTACACCCGCTGACTATAACCGCGATTCAAACAATACGTACAATTCGATATGTTGGCTTATTATCTTTTGTTCTTTCACACAGTACTCACTACTTTAGTATGATCCAACGATGTCAGCAGGCCTGTTGACGACGATGATGTGCTGTGGGCTCTTAATTTGAACTATGTAACGTAGAAATATAGTAGTCAGCGACATATACATGCTAAATCAGGATCGAAAGACAATGTCAGCGATATAAAACGGAAAGAATTGCAATTTAAATTTCATGTGTACTTATGCCCTTCGCTTATACCTACGGCCAGTATGCCGTTTAACAATTATATCAGATGTTATAAATCCGAGTGAGGGTGCGCGCTGGTTCGCTATCCACCAGATCTGCGCTCAAGAATGTCCGGGAATCAATGGGTCGAACACGTGGTCACGTTGGTCTGCCTGTGCGTGCAGCACGAACTATTGGTTAGCGGGGTTCAAAGCTTATCTGCAGAAAATGAGACGATGCTGAAATCTTGGTCCGCCCTTAGGAAATTCGCTCCCTGCTACCAGTGTAGATTGTCGCTTTTTGGAGCTTTGGGGCCTTGGCTTTGGCTCCGATAAGGACTACGCGTTATGCGTAATTTTTCTTTTTGGCACGCAATAACGCAGCCCCGCGCTTTAGCCTGCACCTTCCTACGACTACCACACACAGGAAAGGCACCCCACGACTCCAGTAACGATCCTTTAGTGAATATTTGTCAGTGTCCGAATTCTGAAAATGTTCTTTATTCCGGTGAAATGTTATAGCCAAGCTCTTGGGAGCGCATGATGTCTATATTACCCCTTTTCTTTCTGGGCACCTTGGACCTTTTTTCCTTCCCTTTTATTTAATTATTTTTTTTTTTTTTTTTTTTTTTTTTTTTTTTGAGCTTGAGTGCCGATACACGTGGGTTTATTACGCCCACGTGAAAAATTGAATTTTATAATTTTTAAAGCAATCTAAACCGACTGTACTCGTTGGCGATTAAAATGGAAAAGAATGACGCCTCGCCAAAACTAAAAGAAGCAATTTAGCATTCACCCAAGACACGATATTTTCATTCGCAACGGCGTCATTAACATAGGTCATGGTCACTCTGGTTATGTTATTAACCTCCGCTGATCATATGTAATTGCATAAATGTTATGGTGCAGTGCTGCCTATTCAAGCTGATTGCGATCAGCTGATCATGCCAATGGCAATGTATGTTTATGTTTACAGAAATAAAACTCATCACCCCATCACAACGCAGGTTTAATCGAAAGGATTAACTAATACTGAGATAAAAGCTGAAAAAGGGGTGATTAATTATATTCCCAAATGTCTTTAGCATGGTAATGACCAAGTTCTTTTCCCTTGAGGTCTTCTAACAAATATATACAATTACCAATTTTTCGTTTGATACGTGCCTTAGTTCCAACTGGTGCAAGTTTTGCGTTGAAATGCTTAGCCAAATTGCTTAAAACGAAGTTGCGTTTTATTACTATTTGACCGACTTCAAAAGAACGAGGGCGTGTGCGTAAGTTATACGTTCGCAAATTCTTTTCATATGCCTTATCCATGTGTTTTTGAATATTAGAACGTATTAAGGGAAATTCGTCTGCTCGATCGAGTTTTAATTGCCCTTCATTCAGCATGTTCAGGCTTTTGAGCAACTTGTAATCATTGCCGTGCTTAATCATATTTTGCCCAAACACAACGAAGTATGGAGAAATCCCAATAGATTGGTGTATGGTGTTTCGTAACGAACTATTTATACTGCTAATGTATACATCCCATAGGCTTTGGTCGGACCGAATATATGTGCGCAAAGCAGCATTAATCGAACGATTAACTCTTTCCACCGCGTTTGCCTGTGGCGAGTATACACCGGTACACATATGCTGTATGCCGTACTTCGACAAGAGTGAGGAGAATTCCAGGCTTTTAAATTGAGTGCCATTGTCACTCACTATTATCTCGGGTACTCCAAAACAGTCAAAAATATCTTCTTGCAGTATATCTACCACTACTTTGGCATTGAGCCTTTTTATGGGCTTGAGAAATGTGAACTTTGAGTAGTGATCCAGAATGACGAATATACCAATGTTTCGTTTTTTTGATGGTGGGTACGGACCAACAAAGTCGACATATAACCTTTGGAAAGGCCTTTCGCTGACCACTTGGTTTCCCATGGTTGGTTTGAGGCATCGATTAGGAACTTTCGACGTTTGACAGAACTCGCAGTGGCGTATGTACTCGCGTACGTCAACCACCATGTTCGGCCAGTACAAATGTCTGCGAATACATTCCAAACATTTGGCCATCCCACAATGCGCGGATGTTGGTTGATCATGTGCTGCTTTCATAACATTTAAGCGTAATTCAGATGGCACAAATAATTTCCAACCCTCCATGTTCTCATCTACACTACTAGCTGAGGGTTCATTTCGGAAATATATATAATCATCTACCACTCGAAAATCTGGCAAGTTGGAACGAATAATATTATTTTTTAGCCGGCAGTATTCGTTGGATCGAAATGCCTCCGAAGACAAGTCGATTTCAGGGTATACCTCTAGGTCCACCGCAGCTACTTCGTCTGCTGGCTCAAAGGCACGGGAAAGCGTGTCTGCGACCACATTCTCACTACCCTTGCGATGTTCGATAGAAAAATTATATCCTTGCAATTTGAATGACCATCTAGCTAGTCTACCACTTAGATCTTTTTGGTTCATTAGCCAACGTAAACTTGCATGATCAGTCACGACTTTAAAATCGTGTCCTTCGATGTACATGCGAAATTTTCTTACAGCCAATACAACGGCAAGACATTCGAGTTCCGTAACGGAATAATTTCGCTGCGCTTTATTTAGTTTTTTCGACATGTATGCGATGGGTCGCTCGATTCCTGACTCATCACATTGGGCTAACAGACCGCCCACGCCATGCATGGAAGCGTCGCATTGGACTATAAACGGCTTCTCATAGTTTGCGTTTATCAAGAACGGTGCTGAGGATAATTTTCTTTTTATTTCTTCAAACGAAATTTGAGCATTATCATTCCAAGCAAATGACGTGCCCTTTAGCAATTCTGTTAGGTGAAAGATAATCGACGAATACTGAGGGATAAACCGTTGATACCAACCGGTCATTCCTAGGAATCGTCTCAGCTGTCTTTTTGTTGACGGCACTGGAAAATCTGCAACTGCTTGAACTTTAGCCGGATTAGGCTGCAAGGTGCCTTCACCTACGATGTAACCAAGATATTCGACTTTTGTTAGACAAAAATTACTTTTACGGATATTAATGGTCAAACCTGCCCTACGCAATCGTGTTGCGATCTCAGCCAAATGAATTAAATGTTCATCAAAACTTTGCGATAGTACAAGTAAATCATCCAAATAAACCATAACATGACCTTTCATGTCGTAAGGAATTACTTGATCCATCAATCGGCTCATGGTCTGCGGTGCATTGCACAATCCGAATGGCATCCGCTTAAATTGATATAGCGGCCTGTTCGGGATAGTGAATGCGGTTTTTGCCCGCGATGATTCATCCAAGCAAATTTGCCAAAAGGCATCTTTTAAATCGATTTTCGACACACAATGTACAGGAGGAAGTCTACTTATCAAGCCATCTAAATTTGGTATAGGATAAGCATCCTTACTGGTCACTTCATTTACCTTGCGGCAGTCTAAACAAAATCTAACTTTTCCAGGCTTAACAATCAATATCGCGGGAGATGACCATGCGGAATATGGAGCTTCTTCAATGACTCCAAGCTTGATCATCCTATCTACTTCTTCGCACAACAATTTTTCCCTTGCTGGTGATAACGGATAAAACCTCTGTTTTATGGGCTTGGCGTCCCCAGTATCGATGATATGTTCTACAAGAGTAGTCTTTCCTAGACCATCAATTTCAAACGAAGGAAAGGAAGTGATTACTGATTGTAAGCGTTTCTTTTGGGCTAGTGTTAACGACAACTGATTCGACTCCACTTCTTCGAAATCCACTGAGTTCAATGTATTCGAATGATGTACTGAAATGCCAAACGCTCTCCAGAAATCTATTCCACAGAGAACGTTTTCCTTGATAGACGGGACAATTAAGAATTCGAAATTATTTGCAATGGAGTTATAAACGATTGGAATTGAAATGGAACCTACAACATGTTGTTTTTGTCCGTCGGCGGTTCTCACATCGCCTTTTATTTTGTTAAAGTCAATTTTCGAATCGAGAATTTTATTCGCTAAGCTCCCTCCAATCACGCTTTTCGTAGCCCCACTATCTAACAAGGCTAAGTAATGCTGATTGAATATTTCTAAATTCGTGAACGGTCGCACATCGTTTGATCGATGATCAATCGCTGAAATATGATGCTTATTTAGCGAGCGTCGCTGAGTCCATAGGTTTCTTAGTCTCTCTGACGAACGAGGCTTAAATTCAACTTTGGGTTCTGAAGCGAAAATAGTTGCTCTACGGTCTAAATATTCGTGTAAACGGACGTGGTAAGGTTTAAGTTTTGTCTGACACGGTTTTGATAAGTCTGGTGTGAAGGTCGAATCAGGTGTTAAGGTATCTTTATTAAAGTCTGGATCCGAGGCTATTGACGACGGACATTCGCGTTTAAGAGACGACGAAAGTCCTCCGGAGAGTTTTCCGAAGCAGGGTTACACTTTCTACAAGTGGGTTTGTAAGTGTCAACGGCACCACAGCCGTAACAAAATACACGACGCGCTTTTAAACATTCTTGATATCTGTGTCCCTTTTCCTCGCAGTTCCAGCAAATCAATTTATCCGGAGAATGTATAGCATTTAAGTCCCCAGTTTCTACCAGATTCTGCGTAAGATCCGTCATTGTGGTATCTTCATGGACTACCTCGTTGACTACTCGTTGTGGTTTAATTGGTCGAGAAATTGGCTTGGAAAGGTAATTCGAATAGAACGCTTCATGCTTGTGACATTCTTTGCGTAATGTCGCAAGACTCGGAGTATTTACATGAAGTAGTTCGTGTCTCAATTCTGGTTTTAGGTTGCGCTTGACATTGATCACTAATTCTGAGTCTGACATTGGTTCCCGTAACGCATCTGACAAGGCAAGAATCGTATCTAAAAATTCATCAAAGCTTTCGGACCCTCGTTGTTTGCGTCTTCTAACCATGTCTTTTATGTCTTCGTCTGATCTGTGGTCTTTATATCTTTCTCGCAAGCATGTGCACAAATTGAACCAGCCTGTTTGGTCAGTCGTACGGTGATATCTCCAAAAAAATGTCAAAGCTGGTCCGGTAAACAGCAAATTGGCAAACTGATATAACAACCTAAAATTGCCATTTAAACATTGTGAAGTCAAGCAATTTATGCGATATATAAAGTCGTCGACTGAGATATCACTAGCCACGCCTGAAAATCTGACATCCCAATTGGATATGACACTCGATATTTTGTCGGGCCTATCGACTGCGTATTCACGTCTCGCATCAGACTGAACACTAGCATTCGGTAATCTCGAAGCGTTGTTCGATCGCGGTGCATCACGTGGAAAATCATTTTCCCATTCTAATTGGGGTTCCTCACGTGGCTCCTGATACAAGTTTAAATTTCTAACTGCGGCATTTAATTCTTCGGACAAATAGGACGCCATTTCAGCCTTATGGGCTTCCAATGTCTTACTGATAAGCAACTGCACACGCTGTTCTGACAAACCAAGCGATTCCTTAGAAGGTTGGGTGTTTCGCGATCCCGCTTGCTCCCGAGAGTTGGTCGGCCCACTAGGACGACCTCTGGCGGCTTTAGGAGTATTTCGAGCATTACTTCGGGTAATAGTTCGGGACCGAGGAACGGCCCCCGTGTTTGTAGGTCTTTGTGAAGCTACTGCATTCAAGTCACTGCTATCTTCGTATAATTCTCGACTACAAACTCGTTTGCAAGTGGGACATGTCTCATTGCTTCTTAACCATTGATTTAGGCAATTTCTATGAAATTTATGAGCACATGGAGTTTC